AAAGGATATCCTGTCTTCATACATCGGAAGAATATCGTTAACTCTCTATATACCAAACCAATTCTCAGATTCAATACAGTCCCTATGAGAATTCCAATGTCATTTTTCACAGAAGTAGAGAAAACAATCTAAAATGTGTATGGAACCACAGAAGATCCTGAATAGCCAAAGCAATCCAAAGAAAGAACAAACCTAATTTCAAACTATATTACAAAGCTATAGTAATCAAAACAGTATGGTATTGGCATTAAAAACAGGCACATAGATGAATGGAACAGAACTAAGATCCTAGAAATAAACCCATGCATATACATTCAACAAATATTTGACAAGTGAACCAAGACTACTCAATGGGGAAAAGATAGTCTCTTCAATAAATGGTGTTGGGAAAACTGGATATTTACATGCAAAAGAATGAAACTGGACCCCTATGTTACACCACTCACAAAAATGAAATCAAAATGTATTAAAGACTTAACGTGTCTGAAACTATAAAACTTCTAGAAGAAAACATTGAAAAAAATCTCCTTGAAATTGGTCTTCACAAGGATTTTTTGGATACAACATTAAAAGCACAAGCAACAAGAGCAAAAATAAACAAGTGGGATTATATCAAACTAAAAACTTCTTCACAGCCAAAGAAACAACTGAAAAAATAAGAAAGCCATCTATAGAATAGAAAAAAATATTTGCAAACCATATATCTGTTCAGGGACTAATATCTAGAATATATAAAGAACTTGTAACTCAATAGCAAATCGTCATCATCATCATCATCATCATCTAATTTTAAAATGAGCAAAGGATCTGAAATAGACACTTTTCCAAAGAAGATATTCAAATGGCCAATGGGTACATGAAAAGGTGCTCAACATCTCTAATCATCGGTGAAATGCAAATCAAAAGCCACAAAATCACCTTACACCTATTAAAATGGCTATTATAAAAGAGATAGTTAACAAATGCTGGCAAGGATGTGGAGAAAGGGAATCCTCGTGCACTGTCGGTGGGACCGTACACTGGTACAGCCACTGTGGAAAACAGCATGGAGATTCCTCAAAAAATTAAAAATATAACTACCATATGATCCAGCAATTCCACTTCTGGGTATATATCTAAAGGAAATGAAATCACTATCTCAAAGAGCTATCTGCACCCCCACGTTCATAGCAGCATTATTTACAACAGCCAATGCATAGAAAAAATTCTAAGTGTCCATTGACAGATGAATGGATAAAGTTGTAATATATATATGAAAGGAGGAAATCCTGCCATTTGCAACAACATAAAAAAAATTAAAGGCATTATGCTGAGTGAAATAAATCAGAGAGAAAAGGACAAATCCTATATATCACTTACATGCAGAATCTGAAAAAACAAACAAACAAAAAAACTAAACTCATTGAAACATAAGATAGTTGGTATTTGCCAGGGGCAGGGAAAGCAATGGGGATGGAGGAGTAAGTGAAGGCTGTCAAAGGGTACGAAACTTCCAGTTATAAGTTCAGGGGATGTAATGTATAGAATGGTGACTATAGTTAACAATATAGTGTTGTATATTTGAAAATTGCTCAGGGAATATATCTGACAAGTTAATACACAAGAATTGTAACTATGTAAGGTGACAGATGTGTCAACTAATCTTATTGCGGTAATCATTTCACAACACATACATATAGCATTACCTTGTACAACTTGAACTTACATAAAACTACATGTCAATTATATCTCAATAGATCTGGGGCAAAAGACAAAGAAAGGTGTGAGGAGTGGGCTAGAGGAATGGAGAAAGCAACTAACACAGCCTAGTTTCAGAGGCCCTTCCAGATTCTTTTTTGCATTCTGTTTGTCCTAGGCTGCATGCTATGTGACACACACTGTCCACCTTTTACAATTAAGTGAAAAAAGATGAGAAAGAAACTAGAAGCAAATTCTGGTGATAACTTTTTTAAAGCCACTAAATTTTCCAATAGTAAGTAATAATAATTTAAAGACAAACAATATGTTTATCTTGCTTTGCATGAAGCTTGAAATCAAATATAGGAACATTCATTCACATTTTGCAATCTTGTGTTTACACGTGTCAAGTTATGAAGACTCTTAAACCTTTTGAGTATAACCAAGCACAGGCAAAGAATGGCAGTCTCACTAACAAAACAAAAGGGCCATAGAAAAAATCATCTGATAAGATTCACCCAAGACCCATTCTATCCTGCACCCTTATGATTTTACAGATACCAGCCAACACATCCTTACAAGTGAAATCAGATTAAAGAACTTTAAGGCAGCTGTTTTTATGGAGAAATGAAACACATGTACAAGTGTGAGTAGTGTCTAATAATCATTGATCCGACATTTACTACACATAACCATTGTTATACTGGTTGCACAATGTACAAAATATTTAAAATTAGTGAGATAGCTTTTGTCTCCTAGGAACTAGAATCCGAAAAGTAAGGTTAACACGTAAACATGTTAGAAGATGTTACAGAAGAAGGGTGAAGAGTATGCTAAGAGGGAGAGTAAGGAAGAATCTTACTCCTTTGCTTTGGATATTGAAATGTTATATAGGAGTGAATGGGTTTATGGTATGCTATAGTTTCCCAAAGTTATGTTCCCCAGAATGCTAATCTGGCAGATTTGGAGAAGGGCTGGTGTGGATGGTTCCATAGTTAAACACTACACATTATGATCCTCCTGTAGGACTCACTGCGAACATTAGCAAATTAGCAGCTCTGAGAAATCCATTACTGAAAACAAAGCACAAAACAATTCAACCTGCATGTCCCATTTTAGTTAACCAAGGAACTCTTTTACAGCACCTGTATACAGTCTTGGGAACAAATTTTGGGAAAACAAGCTGTATGACCTCAATGGCACTAAATGGTTGCTAACACTGCAGGAGAGAATGAGACCAAAGCCAGGAGAATCCTTTGTGCTTGGCCTCTTTTAGGTTGATTTAATTCATTGCACATTTCAATAGCTACTTAACAAAATTAAACACATAGGTATCTGCAATACAAGATCAAGCAAGAAGAAAAACACAAACCCATAGATGACTCCTGAATTTCCCCTCCTCCACCCTGCCCCCAAGGGTCACAACACAAATTTTATTACATGGCACTTCCAATCAAGTTGCTGAATTATGTCACATTTAGGACATACTTAGTGACCCAAAACACTTATGCCAACTAGTTGTTCTAAATTCTTACTTTGACCACAAATGTCAGTCTTCTGAAATTTTAACTCTTTTCAGAGATAAAATGTAAGAGATATGGATGCTAAGTCCTGATAGGCTATGGGTCTTGGCTTATGGCTATGCAAAAAATGGTCATTTGACCATTCCTGTACTGTGAGGAAGAAAAGCTATTAAAATGAAACCCATCAGTTGGCATTCTCAAGAAACTGAAATAGCTAAGTCCATCTAACCAGATTCATTCATATCAAGTGGTCCCATTTCTCATATTGTGCCAAGATGCCTGGACTCTAACATAAAAACATTTACTATACTTTAATAAAGGGTTTCATAGTGAACCTCTGCTCATTTCATTAACAATTATTTAAAATGTTCAGATACCATACAAGATAGTAATGAAGTTAGATTAGTAAAACCTTCTTATGGTCATCAAAAAACCATTCTTTATCCACAATTATTATAGAAAAATATTTTTTGAAAAAAATCTACAGAAAAAGACTAACTGCTAGAATAATCAGATTCTTTACTGGTTTTAGGACAAGAGATGCCAGGTGAGTGCTTCCATTGATTTTTCACTTTCTCTGGCCCCTTGCACCCCTGACTGATGCTAGAAAACAACTGTTCCTTAGAGAGAATTAGGCCAACTCACAATTTCTTGCATATACGAAATTTACAAGATGGGTTAAATGCTGCATATTCTATACTGTGGGCTGGTTTTATTCTCTAATGACATTCATTTGCCACCTCCTTGTAAATGCATGAAAAATGCAAAACAATTTAAATACTAGTTTAAAATAAAACTTTCTCAAAACACATGTACACCAAAATGAGTAAGATTCACACCTCAGGTTCCTTTCCAGTGGCATACTAGAGTTGACTAGAATACTTCTCAAAAGGTGGTAGTTTGTGTGGAGGGATGCAGGGCAATGGGCACTGCAGTCAGAAAACCTGCATCTGCCCAACTCTCATCAAGTGTGTGACCTCAGATGACTTAACAGCACTCTAAAATGAAAAGGTTGGATGGAATGATTTCTGAAGTTTTTTCTAGTTCTAAATATTAACTTTTATTCTTTATTGTGTCATCAAGTACCATTTCATAGAGTTGTTTAAAAATGATTAATGGTTAAATTACAAAATTCTATCAGTTCCCTTATCACTCATATTCCTAGTTGCTAGGCTTTATCTTTAAAACTGTTGGCATAAAACTGTTATAGTTCTAACCTCTCATTTTCTTGGCAGATTCTAGCCTATGAGGCCAGCTAATTGCATAGCTGATACACCTCAGTATACAGAATGCAGTCCTGCATTAGACATATTTTCGGTACACTGAATTATGCTTTTTAAAGCCTATAGTACAAAAGTGTGACTTTGTCATTTAAATGTGGCTCTTAAAATGCAGTCCAAGAAAGCATTCAAGGAAAATCATCTCGGCTTAAAATACAGATTTCTGGGCTCCAGAATCTGCATTTTAATACATACGCTGGCGATTCTTATACCACCAGTTTCAGAAATACTGGCTGAAAGCTGTAAATATTAACTAGAAATGATTTTTAAAAATAACTTTAAAAAATGGGGCACAGCTCTGAATGTTAATTAGGGGTTTTTGGGTAATTTGTCAAATTTTAGATTGTGAAAGTTGTATCAAATATTGGTTATTTTCCAAACAAATCTCTCCCTAGCTAGACAGTAGGCAGCATGAGACTGAAACTAAGCACAGTGCTTTCTTTAAAAATGTACTCAAATCCTCAAACTAAATGCATCAAAAATGCAATAAGCAATTCAAATTTTTATTTCCTGGGGTTAGGCCAAGACGACTTTTATGTTTCCGAAGCAATCCACAAAGCCAAGATTGAGGTTTCAGAGGAAGGCACCAAGGCATCTGCAGCCACAGGTATGCTCATAAGGGAAAGTCAGCAATACCTGGTCACACTGCTGCCCATATTTACCTTCGTTAGATTTATCCAGTTCAATTGTCATATTTCTAAAACTTCCCACTGAAAAGTCCACATCCCAATGTGGGAGGGCAGTTTTAAAGAAAGCAATGTTAACAAAGAGCAAAGTTTTTGACAAATAACAGGAAAAAAGAGATATCCATTCTGAAAAAGATGTGTACCATGATCCCCATAAACAAGGAATAGAGCCATTCTGAAAATTACCTTCAGTAAGAAATTTATTCCATGAAACATTTAAAAAATAAGATACAGGGTTCACTAAGTGGTATCTTTTTAAGTTCCCCATTTACCCCATCATAACTCTAAATATCAGTAAGATGCTTTATTTCTTCAAAAAATCAAAGGATATAACTGATTTCATATCCAATTTTAATGACTTTCCTCAAATGAATAGAAAGTGCAATGGGATTCTTCTATTATCTTTCCTGCAGCTCTTTTGTTACTGAAAAGGTCTCGGAGTCCTTTTTTTAAAGCTGATCGGCCATTCATCTTCTTCCTGAGAGAACCTAACACAGGTATTACAGTATTTTTGATAGAATTCAGATAAATTAAGTATTTATTAGCATCTCTTTAGCAACAAAGGCTCATTTGTCCACTGTAGCCTAAATCAAGCATTTCCTCTAAGCGATGCTAGTTTCTACGGTGCTTCAGAAGCTTCCCAGTTGCCATGTCATAGATCCTGAGAAAAGGGAATATTTCCTAACTACAAAGGAAACTAATATCCTCCTCCATGGATTTTCTTTTCACACCTCTCTCTCTGGTCATTTGTAGTTGATGTAGATTTTTTAAATTCAGACTGTCATTTCTGGGGAGACTTAGAAAATTCATGTAAGTAAAATAAATAATAGATTCTGACTTTTTCCAGTTGTTCCCCAGCTTTCTGGTCATTGTAGGAAAAATAATATTTCCTTCAGGCTACTAGAGTAACCAAGTAGTCTTCTGACTCTCAGCAACCCTAATATTCTAGTGAATGCATTTGGATTTCTATAGTTTTTCTGTTGATTTTCTCAAGCTCGCTGAAATTACAAAACAAATGTTTGCCCTTGTAATTCTCACTATAAAACTTCATCTTAATCTTCCCCCCAAAACAGTACAGGAAAAGCCTTAGCACATCAGAATGACAAGCAGAAGTCCTTTAGCATCAACGACATTGAACAAAGTATTCAAATTACTCCTCTTAATGTTCTCCCTCCCCACTCTGACAATCTTTTTATCAGCCTAGGAAGAAAAAGAGATTCTCAGTAAAGAGTTGTTGGCAAGTCTAAACAATGTGTTAAAAGAAATAGAATGGAACAAGACTAACAAAATCAAGCAAAAGTGGATCTACTTTAACTAAACATCAGGCATTATTTTTATTTATGGAGAGAAAAAAGTCAAGTTAGAATAATGAAAATTACGCATAGGCTTTACACAAATTAAGGAAATACTGTCAACATCATTTTATCTGAGAATCATTTGCATACTGCTGTAACTTGTGCTAGAAATCAAAGAAACACTTTTGTGACAAAAAAGGATGAAAATAATCATTCACTAGGAAATAATCTACTTAAGGATTATTTGGGGAGGAAAAAGTCCATCAACAGAATATATCCTGCTAGTATTTCACCATGACCATCCCAATCCCATATATATTAGATGAAAATGTCACGTATCACTCAGAATAGGCAACAGAAAGCCCTGTCTTAGGATAAATGTGAAAAAATGAAAGATGAAAAAAATGACAGGTTCCACTCCCTTAAGAAAGAAAGAGGCAGGACTAAATTTGAACAGAAAGATCACTGTCAAAAGCTGATAGCCAATAAAGGTTGATGACAGTTTTTAAACGACAACAATTTCTCTTGGAATTCAACTGCATAAAAATGAAATAAAATCTTTGTAGGAAGGGGCATACCACTATTCCAGTGACATAAGTTTGTAGAATAACCTTAGTAAACAGAGAATGAAAATATAAGACTAATCTAAAACCAGTGCCATAATCCGCCGCACATCTAAATATAGTCCCTGTGAATTTATTTACCTCTGAGAGGTACTTGCCCACATCACAAGGTAAAGTGGCCATTCCTCTGGTGACGGGTATTGAAGAGATTAAAAATGTCTCAACCTTCAGTACATCAAATTGATCAATCTTACTAATAAGGGTAAATGACTCAATAGACAAATGGGACACATATGAGACCATTAAGAAAAACAGCCTCAACCTTAAGATTAAACCGCTGGAAAATACCATTTGTCTAGCCTAAAGTCATCCAGTGATCTAAAGGGCCCAAAAGATATTCCCTTCAGATATACACCCCTCCCTTTTGATTACAAGAATTATATAGTATTTCACTAACAGAATATGCCCAGTTCCTTAAAATGTAGAAAATCTTTTAGAGATGGGCTATTAAGCTTGAGTTTCAATGAGTTTCAAACCTTGTAACTAAGTTTTAGGTTGAGGGTATAGAATATGGTGGAAGAGAGATTAAGGACAAAATGAGACTGAACTAGCTGCTTCTTCCTAATTCTCATTAAGGTTCATCCCAAAAAATGGATTAAAGGCCAAGGGGCTAAAGGATTATTATTTCATGAGTGATCTGTGAAATGGAAAGAATAATTTTCTGATAAGCTGCTAAATATTAGAATAAACTAAATCCCTTTCCTAAATATTCTTGGTAAGCATGAACTTTTATCTGAATGACTTGTAATCCTTTCCATTCATTAATTTCAATCTAAATATATGTAATTTAAGACCAGACAATATATTCTGGATTTTGTGTAGCTCTTGCTGAATTAGCAACGTCACCTTAACAATTTCATCTATTAAATGAAATCCCATTTTACTTGAAGGTATTTTGTAGAGGTAAAAAAGGTTTAAGGAATTGCATATGAAAATACTATATAACATTATATATGCTTCTTTTTCTTGACAGGGTTTGTCTTCAGTATTGGAAGAGTTTCAAATCCCCTAGACTAAAATCAACAGATCTCAAACATGTTCTCCACTTTCATCTATGCTTTTCTTCATAAAAAGTTACAATTTCATTTTGCTATACCCTTGAAATTTAAAAAAATGTTCTGCTAAAGTGTAAAAAGATAAGGGTGATTTTCAAATGTTATGAACCTAAAAATATTTCAATTTTACTATAATTTTATAAATTTATTTCACCCTCCTAATCTAAATGCATTTTAACCTTTTTCTACTGGTTACCCCAAAAGCACTACAAGGCACAGCAGTGATCTATGAATGGTGAATGAGTCAGGTAATAGGGTCATGTTCTCAGTAAGGACACATGAGGCCATTTTACTGACAGCGGGCAATGAATAATGTTAGTTTTCCTTATCCTGGGTAATTAGGGGGGATGGAAAATGAGCAAAGTCATCTTAAATGTTTTTCCTTTCCATTTAGCTTCTAAATAAAATGGAGAGTTTAAGTGTGAGAATAACAGATCAAAACAAAGAGATCCCTTTTTATCCCCCAATTTGTTACGGGGCTTTTATAATCATGGCATCAAGTTGCTGAAGACTAGACATTTCAGAGTATGTGAGGTACCTCATACTTAAAACTCCCTAACGGTTTCAACTTAGAGCCATCCACAATCCTCGTGATAAAGGAAAAAGGACTGAAGGAAAAAAGGAAACCAATGAAGTCCAGAGGTGTCTGCTTTTTAAACAGCTTTTAAAGTGTCTGCCTATCTGCCACAGATACTGTCATTTCCATTATCTAGGCAGAAATGGGAGTACGTTAGTGTGGCCGACAAAAACTAAGAACATATAGTAAAAAGACAATGCAGATTATGTACCATGTAATTACAGTTAAGTTTAACAAAGATGAACTTCAAGTGGTATATTTTTCCAATGCTAAAAAGCAAGGCTTTTAAAATTCCATTATCTTAAGATGGTTTTAAATGAGTACTTTAAATGTGATTATTTCCTAAACCACACAAGAGTAAAATAGAGCATTTATTGATGGAATAACAAAAGTGCTTTTCTTAAATATTCTTCAAAATACATTTGTACAACTTACAATAATATATCCAAAATAACTGTATATACAAAACATTACCTAGTTTTAATGTATGTGCTTTTTTCCCCAAAAATTACAAAGTAACTTCTTTTTTATTTTTTTGGCAAAGTTCAACCTTAACAGAGGTGACAATTTTAAAGGTTGGTTTAAGAAAATAGAACCTGAGGGAAATTGACACGCAAGAGTCAATGACAAGCAAGAGATTTGGAGGAATATTTTTAGTTTGTTAAATAAAAATGTTTTTTAGAGTGATACTTTTCACATTACAAAAATAAACCAAAATGAAGAAAAGGTCACTGTAAAATGATGGGAAAAGGATCTGAAGACTTGCTCTTAGTATTTCAAATAGCCAACAATGCATGTCAAAAAGGAATGCAAGATCACAACAGTCTTGCATTTACTTTGTATTTGGAGAAGATATACTGAAATAAGTGGCCACATTCTGTTTTCTTTTAATTGCTATTAATATGGTTGATCTGATTGGCTCTTCGATGAATTTCATCCAAGAAGTTCTCCAGTTGTTCTATTAGCATTCGTTTTTTAAACCTGTATAAAAAAATAATAGCACTCTCAATTTCTTTTTAATGTATAAAGTTATATATCATTATAATTTTTTTTTTTTAAGAGAGAAACTGCCTTGGGAAGATTTTTCAAAGTGAAATGAAAATTAAAATTCAACAACTTTATGATATATAAAATCTGCTGGAAGATTAGCAAATAATTTTATCAGTACAGTATTATAATTTGTTCCTAAAACAAATAATCTAGGCCTAAGTACAATGGGCAATAGGTTATTCCTTCCGCAATCAAAAAGAAAAAGGGAAAAAAGGGAAAAGGAAAAAACCTCATGTATACAAGGATTAAAATATTCCAGCAAAATTAGGGCTCCCAAAGAAATGATTCCAATAGCTTCTTCTTATGCTCTTTGAAAGTTAAATGTTGAAAGGAATATGAACAAAGTATGAATATAATCCCCCAGAAAATGGAAGAAGACATGAAAATGAGTAGCACTTAAAAACCACGGTGTTCTGCCATTATAATTTGACAGCTGGCAAATCAAGGATAATTATCGACATCTTGAGGAGAGAATATAACAGTTAAAGTTTAAGCAGTAATTTAAAAAATTTTCCAGTAATAAGTACACTAAAATTGCATTTGTCTACGTAAGTATTAATACTGCTGGTACTTTTTAGAATATCCCCAGACATTGCCCAATTAATACCCACTTCCTTTCTACTTGTAAACTAATGAATAGCCACAATAAAATATACAACTCTCTAAAAGGTGGCAGAAGTAGAGTGCAGGCACCAGAAATATAACTAAATCCATGAAGTCTGAGCTGACAGAATGTTACATAAAGAGCAGAGTAGGTTAAATACTCAAAACAAATAATGTGAAAAGTTATGTCCTTATCTTGCATATTCAAAGTGACCTATATATACTCTAACCACTCACAAAAAAAAAAAAAAAAAAAAAAAGAAAGAGAACTAACTGCTCTAAAACAACCTCTAAGTGTAACATAGAAGAAACTGGGAGACTAATTAAAGAATGGTTATATTTGGAAGGACAGATAAGATAAACGCTAAGTCTTCTTACAATACTAAGTCTTAAAGAAAAAAATAAAAAAGGCTTTTCTGTACTCGCTAAACTCATACAACTATGCTTTTCAGTTAATTGCACTATGTAGTTACCATTTATAATCTTGATCCACATTCCTCGTACAAAAGTTCATAATCCTGGGCTACTGAAGCAATCAGAATAAGGCCCATTTGTCTGACTCTGGTCCCCTTACTTACTGACTCTGGTCCCCCTTAATTACATGTTTTCCCACATACAAACTGCATTAAAATACTGTCTTTAAGGTTATTTCTAATTGCTGATTAATATTAACCATAGTCTAAATACCAAAAGGAGAAAAATTAAAGGCTATAAAATATAAAGGAGACCAAAAAGCCATAGAGCAGAATAAATGAGAATTATGCAAATATCTGTAATTTATAGAGAGGAAAGGTTCATAATTTCTAAAGAATTTGTATATGGTTTCTTTTTAAATGAACTTACAAATGAACTAAAAAAGACAAAAGTACATATATGAATGTGTCATATATAAGCATAACAACATGAGTACAAAATAGATACTGTTAAAACAATACTGACTATAATATTCAATAGATTATTTACCTTGATGCTTCTTTAATGACATTTTGTAAAAATATTAGTCTTGTTTGTAAACTGCCTTGCACATGCTTCAGTAAAGTGAAGATTCTTTCATATTCTTAAAACAAGAGAAGCAAAAAAAAAAATTAAGTGGCTTTCCTTTGCGCTCTTATTCAATATTTTTCTATTGCAGTTTACTACGTCAACATATACTAAGACGAAAACAAAAATATTTTACATAAAATTTTTACTGCTCATTGAAGACTTTATTATACATATATTTCATCATATATCAAAAAAAGATAAAATAACTTGTCAAATACTGCTTTTTTTGGTAAAAGTTCCCATTAAGGTATCAAAGATTTGACGTATGAATAAATAGGTTTTTGGTAGTGCCACTGAAAAGTAAGAAGCATGTTGCCTTAACAAAAAGCCATCTTTATAATTTAAATTCTAAACTACAGCTAACATGGGGAGACAGAGGTTGGGGGTACATGTAGGAAAAAAATAAAACAGATTAAGAGTGCTATTTCAGTTTCAAGTTTTCACAAAACACTCTGCCAAGGACTATAAGATCTTGAATGGCAAAGACTGAATCTTATCCACTTTTGGACCACCCATGGGTCACTGTACCATCACAGCAAGTGATCTGTCAGCACCTTCTAAATGAATGCCAATAATATTGAAATTTTATCCCACAATGTTCTTTTGTAGTCACATAATAGTTTTCATAACTTTAGCTTTTTAACCTAAACATATCCCTACTCGCCATCACAATTTAAATCTTAAACACAGTGGCAGGCACTATGCAACAAACTTTACAAACATGAAGTCGTTTAACATTCACATCTTTTGGTTTTTAAAATTCCAGTTACTGGTTAAAAGAATACTCTAGACCAGTGGTCACCAGTCCGTGGCCTATTAAGAACCGGGCTGCCCAACAGGAGGTGAGCGGCGGGCCTAAGAGCGAAGCTTCATCTGTATTTGCAGCTACTCCCCAGCACTAGCATCACCGCCTCAGCTCCACCTCAGATCAGGCATTAGATTCCCATAGGAGCCCCAGTTCCTGATGCCAAAAAGGTTGGGGACTGCTGCTCTAGACTATGGGTTCCTATCATGGTAGGAACTATGTGTAACTTATCTGTGTGCTTCCTATGCTCTCAGTCCCCTCTACTTACCACACTCAGTCCAGTACTTTGGATATAGCAGATATTCAGTTAAGTGTTTGTCAGCTAAATAATCAAACCTTACATAGCTTACATATCATTCAAGATTGATTTAGAATCAGATCTGTCCTTTAATTTAACTTTTTTTCTTTTGAGCACACACAGAAATCATATTTGAGGTTTGTCTCTAATTATACATACTTCTTCCTGGCTTTCGGATCTCTTTCATTATTTGTGCTTTTAGTTCAGTGTTGATTTCTTCATGGCTTCTGCAATGCATCAATTTCTTTCCTTTGTTAAGTGAGGATGCTGGTAGATTCTCTTCAGGACACTGTACTTTATCTCTTGGCTCCTCATGATTTTCTAAAAATCCGCCAACAGCGAGGTCATTAGTTCCTAAATGGTCATGACCAAGAGCCTCTGTATGATTGGTCGGTCGTTCTAGTAAATTGGCTGAAGAAGATGTCAAAAATTCAGTATCCAGAGCATTTGGTGTAATATCTGATGAAAGTTGGTCAGCAACATGATTTTCAACCACATCATCTATTGTTGAATCATTACTGGCTTCTGAAACTAAAAACAAAAATAAGGGAAAAAATGATGAGAGAATTTCAAAGCACACAGTAA